CAGCCAAATCTGCCCCTTAAGAAAGTTAGTCACAATCTGGCCTGTCTGGGGTAGTAATAGTTGAATAGTGCCAAGAAATCAAACTTGGACATTGCAAAAAAAAACTATCAATTTATCACTTTCGTGTTGAAATTCGTAGACTGTTGAAGGAAAACTGTATACGAACCGACGAATTTGGAGCCGCGACAATCCAAATCGTTCTCATCTGACATCCATGATGAAGAACGCTGCATTACTGTACCTGAAAACATAACTACAGTAAAGAAGAAAGAGAGAAGACGTTTTTTGGCACTAACGTACCCTGGGTGAAAGGGGTGGAAAGGGAGAATTATTCCACAGCGACTCTGCGTTTCTTCCCCAATCTAGGCCTAGGTTTAGAGCGCAGACTGTCAGAGTCGTTCGGGACTGACTGTTCTGCGGTAACCTGCGGCCACTATGATTATCTGCGCTCGAGCTCAAGCCTTGGCTTGGGAAGAAACGAGGCGCTGTGGACATATCCTCCGGCTCTCCCCCCTTACCCGAATATACTAGCGCCTGTATCTCGACAAATCGGTCAAATTGATGGCAGACTTTTGAGTAAATAAATAATGATAATAGAAATGTTTTTTCCCCAAAATTTGTCACTAAGGGCGTAGGAGCGCTAGTGTAGTATGTGGAAATTAGGCACCTGGTGCCGCCTCCTATCCCTTTCCCACTCTAACGCTCACGCAAGAGTGCGCAGACGACCAGAGCCGTCGCGGGGCTTCGTAGAGCAGCTCTTGCCTTCCCATCCAAAACCTCATTCATAACAAACTGCGATACGTCCGCAGCTCCTGAAGCGGGAGCGCGGCTTACACAGCGTAAATACGCACTTAAGGGAACAAAAAGAGAAAATGGATCGAGAAAGGAGTACCACCCCTCTTCGTATTGCGCAACACCATATTCAAACAAGATAAAAGGCGGGAACTGCCGACAGTCATGCCAATGGCGCAACGCAACGCACCGAGCCATCGTTTTTTACCCAAATGAGAACTTATGCGGTTGTAAGGAAACCTAGTGACAGTACTGATGGCAACCTGACAACCCTACGTGACACCTAACATAGCGGCACGGATGGTGATAAGTGGACGGGACATTTTTCAAAATGAAACCTTACAAGAATCTCCCAACCAAATGGACACGCTACTTTCAAACAGATATCGAAAATTTTAGAAAAATGGAAATAAAAAGTGCAAGGGGTCTTCGCAAAACTAAGATAGGGCAATACATAAAGTTGTCTGAAAAAAGTTGCAGCTTCAATCACCAAAACCTCGAAAGTAGCTAAATAGCTATTTTTTGATAGCCAAAACTCAAAGCACAACACATTTTTTATGAATGACTGGAAGTGCATCGATAGCCAGGTGCAGCCCGGATAGCCAGGCGCTTACCAGCTGACCAAAAAATGACTTGCGGCACAGCAGATAATTTATCCGTCCTTTGAAGCGAACGAGTTTTGACTATGAACCGAATAGGTGTTCCAACTCGAACATTAACTCTGTAAACAACGCAAAAAAACGCAAAAAAACAAACACCGGAAGGAAACAAGACTGGTAGCTCTAAACGAGCTCACGTAACACCACCGATGCCACAGCGATAGTGTGTTCGTCAAGAAATTCTGTAACTACAGAAAGCCGTCAAGTTACGGTAGTTCTTTGTAAAAAGACTTTGAATTATTTTAATGTAACTTCCTCCTATGTAATGTCCTGCGTATATCTGGAGCCCGATCTCGGGACGTCTTGAACCTTTACTTCGTAGGAGTTTGCCCTGTGGGTGGCTTACTAGTTGTGCGGGCGCTGTAGCTAATCGAACCTTCTGATCTGGGAGGTCAGGTTCTGGCCAAGTTATGACCATGTGACCCCCAGATGTGAGGGATATGGTAGGGAGTGGATCTTCCAGTTGATGTGTTCATACCTAACAATTGCCGACGACCAGGGACGCCGAGGGATATGCACCATGAGCTCTGCCATGTGGAGCAGATAATAGACAGCAGAAGTTTAGTCTTAGTTTGACATCGCTATCGGACTAGTGAGCTGCGTTCATACTTTGCGGCTGCGTACGCCAGCATTCTAGCGTTACGCTAGCGCACGCTGGTGACGCTGGCATACGCTAGATCGATATCTATCCTTTCCTTGTCACTGCCGCTGGCGAACGCTGGAAACGCTAGCGTACGCTGCCGCAAAGTATGAGCGCAGCCTAAGGAGCTGCTAGGGAGCATTCATACTTCACCATTTAGTTACATGCCCACGGAAAAACCAACGACTGGCAGCGGAGCGGTGGAATGCGCTCCAAAGTCTATCTGCGAACGGTCAAAAAAGTTCTGCTCTGTGGCGAACAGTACACATCGTTGTCGGGGATTCCTAAGCAGGGGGTCGTATTTGGTCGCTGGGAGAGGGGGGGGTCGTATTTGGGCTGAGAAAGATTTTTTCGATAGTTGATTTTTCTTGTTTCACGGACTTGTGGAGGTGAGGAAGGGTCGCATTTTCCTCGCGGTTTTTTTTCAGTTTCACACATGCTTGTTGCCCCCTCCCCCTGCCCGACAGCTGGATGAGGAGCGAACCAGGGGAGAGGAACCCTTAAAGGGGGGGGGGAAGGGTCGTACGGCCTCGACCAGAATCCCCAGCAATGATGTTCCCAGGTGGCAAAGAGCAAGGGATCCCCGAGCGACCCCCGACTTTCTACCGTCATCTCTGCTGATGCTCCTGTTCTCTCCGGTACTGCATCATTACCCTTTTGACACATACACTATGCGAATATAATGTAGTGAAGAAGATAACCGATAGTCACGCGGTATTCCTCCCTCTCCCCGAGCAGGAGGGGGTGGGTGGGGAACATGCCATATCACTGGGTGACAGCGGGGAGAGGGGGTGGGGCAAAGAGGCTAGAAGCAGAGAGACGAGGGGTATCGGCAGAGATGGCAGCAGAGAGTGGAGGTTCACTAGGTGATGCGGTCGTTATCACTGGAATCATTCAGGGCGTGTCAGCTAAGCATGGGTCTGGTGCGGGGCCAGCCCATTTCCTATAGATTCCTACGGCTTCGCTGTTGACATCGGGCGAAAACCACGCATCGCCTAGAAGCGGTCGCAAACTATGAACGCCCCAGAGGATTGAGGTGTTTCACAATTCACACAACATAACGACGGGTTGTTATCAGTACCTTTCTCCTTCTGGCGCTGATGTACTTCAGAAGATGGAGAAGGGGGGGGGGAGGGAGAGAGGACGCTTACATGTGATTTTCCTTCCCCAACACTCAGGCTTAGCAGAACGCAGACAAGCGGAAGTGGAGTCGCCGCGCGCTACAAGTCTCGCATAGCGGAGGTATTCTCTCCCCTTCCTCTCCATGCCCCCGGAGTACCTAAGCGCATTCTCCGCATAAATCTCTTTCAGTCTCAGTCTCTGAGAGGTCTGAACATCTTTTTATTCCTGGCAATAGCGCATCTTTTTTTCTCCTTCTTTTTCACTGTGTACTCACACTGATAACTCAAGGAACTTTATCAATATGTAATACAAAATTTACAAAAGTATTCATCATAGACATCCCATTTGTTAAAAAACATATTTAAATGTTGAATACTTGTCGCTTTTCATGAATAATTAAACACGCACTCATAGTTTATTTGGCCGTCATTAGTCCTGAAAAGAGGGATTAGACTTCTATGAGCATGTCCATGATTCTGTGTTGGTGGGGAGTGTTCACGGACGTAGTTGCGAGCGCAGTGGAGGCAGGTGGGGTATGTGATAAGAAAATCGTGTTGTGCCGTGCTGGTGGGCGTGGCGAATGATTCCGCGTCCGACGGACGAGTTGTCCTCCCACCTACTTGAATCTGAGTAATGCAGTGACGGGGAAATTTTACATTGCCCGCCAAGGAGTCTTGTCTTCGTTCACCTTAGAGTCATGTGAGTTTCGCTGCACCAGTCACCACTGAGGATTCGCCGCGCGTCGCTGCATGACACGTCGCGCGCGACGATGCGACACCGCGATTGTCTTTCCCTGTCTTCCAGAAGACGGTTAGCGTTCTTGGCGTAGAGGGATCGAAAAGGCACCGATGTTATCTTGTGCTGTCTGCACTCTGCTATTTACAAGCTGTCTACGTCTCTGCCTGAGGTGGTGACTGTCTACCGCCGCCACGCTCACAACCAAGTCTGTGGACACGCCCCTCCAGTGTCCAATGATAGGACACTAAATAGGAAATACTTAGTCAGAACCTTAGGCAAAAATCACTGCTGATACGTCCGACGCGGTTTCCTGTATCGCTTCCATCCATGCGCCGGTGATGTTCACTTTTTCGCGAAGAAATCGATTAACATCATCCCACATCTTTCTCTCACAGAATATACCCTGAAATAGAACTCTATCTATTTTTGCTTTATTGTTGCTCACATGTAAGCCCCATTTGAAAGTGAGCACAGTTATAAAACGGAGCTACGTTTTCGTTCAGCACGGTCGAGGGGTGGAGCTTGTGGGAGGGGCGGGACTGTCACCATCAGTTCGCCATGATCAGTCGTTCGTGAGTTTACAAGTCACTATCAAGAGGTAAGGAGTTGCCACCTTGGTTTTGAACGACAAAAGGGCGGGATATGTGCAGTGAGCGCTGTTTGTGACCTCCGGGTTACCGTAACCCTGCTTCAAAGCCGTTTCTTCAAGTAAACGGCATGAACTTACTCCTCCAGCAGATATTATCTTTTAAGAACTTCTTGCATACCAGAACTGTCCACGGCATACCTGATGGCTGGCAGGAATGAGGAACAGTTCGCTGTTTGCTATCCTCTCCTTCATAGCAAGGCCATGGTGGTGATCTACGATCGCATCGTCCTGGCCGTGGCAGACGAGCGTCGGACATTTGATGTTCTCTGCCTTGTCGTAACTGAAAACCAGCTGCAATGTTCACTAGTCTAATGTCTACGATGGCATCATCAGAAACATCACTCTTTAGGATGCGCCATGCACTTGATTTCCTTCAGTTTATCGGGATATGGCCATCTGACAGCGACCTGTAGAATAGGTTTCGAACTGTTAAAGACACATTTCGCGAACATGGAATAGGCGTACGCTGTCAACGATCGTGGTTCTCTCCTTAGTGCGCCTCGCTTCTTCGCCATACCGGAAGAGGTAGCCACCAATGAGAGAGGCACAGTGGTTGCCGCTCTTCCTCCGCCCATCCGATCAGCGCGAAATGTGACTTTAATGAATCCATCGTGAGCTGGCTCGCTGCAGCTGGGTGGGCATTACTTCGCTGTCGCGGCGGAGGAGGCGTTGCAACGCGCTCATGCTGCATTCGCGCTGGGACCCATTCCACTCACGTAGCTGTGTTGCGGCGCGTCGACTCGCCCTGCGTTTGCGTCTCTCGAGTCGACTAGTATTTTCTGTGTCCTAGACAGCTAGCTAGGGAGGAGGTAACTGGTGGTATCTGGTGGTAGCGCGACTGGAGGAACCCTCCACAGTCCACCAAAGTCACTGAGCCAAAGACGTACCAATTTCTCGCCAATGTCACATAGAGATCAAGTGCGTGGCGCATTCCAGGAGAGGGTAAACACAAATTTACGTTTTTGTTGATAAGGCCGTACTCATTCTCACTTTGGAAACATGTCCAGGCGAGACGATTCCGTGATATTTGGACGACGAAGGATTACCCGCCACAGTGAAGTGAACGGAGCTATGAGCACCATTGCGCCAAGCTAAATGAAACTGTTAGGCTCAAATTTCTAGCGGCCAGTGGAAGCTTTGGCGGTCAAGCTTGAGGGGGGCATTTCGTGCTTCCGCTTCTTTCTTTTTGATGGTCCCTTTTATATACACCGTGGCACCTTGGTAAGACCTGTGCACTCTGTTCAAGTGTAACCGAAGCTCTTGCTATTGTACAGCCTAACAGGGATAGGTCTTCACACGTGAAATCGCCAGGGATTGACGGGAAACCAGCGAAATGCCCCCAACCAAGCAGAATCGCGCCTTCAGTTGTTACAACTTTTCCTTCTAAGAGTGGTGAAAATGCATTTCAGGGGAAAAATCGGTGTGTAGCGTTTGTTCCCGCTGCTCGCTGCGCGCTGCAAAACTGCACGACAACTGAGCGAGCCATTTGCTCCAACCACGGCAGTTTCCCATGCAGAGAGGCAGACAGCAACATATATGTAGCTAGTTTCAGCGAAATATGCGTGAAATCTCACTGCGCTCAAATTCCAAAACGGCTAGAGTCGGCTGGAGCCGAAGCGTTGGGTGCAGGCGTCCATACCTACGTGCTATTTTTATTTGCCAACTGCCTACTTGCCAAAATCAGGCAGCTCGGTCTTATTATACTATATATATATATTTATATTACGTTATTCCCGGGGTAAAACGTACTTACATAGAAACGCCTCAAACGGAAGAAGGACGCTCCTCTAAGCAGGCCATAGTGCTGTCCCTGTTCGCGATTCGGGTACAACAGTCCCCTTGCTGGCGCCTGCTGAGGGCGGGGAACTGTCGCGCGTCGCGCGCGGCAACTTGCCACGTGAATGCGGAGGAACGAAATGCTACACCTCTCATGCTGGGTATATTCAACTCACATCGGGTGTTATCGATGCAATGTGCACCATAGCGGCTGTACCCAAACTGAATCCTATTAGAACAATGTCTTTAGGGGCATAGCCTAAGTCTTCGATCGCGTACCTGGAATATTCAATGATCTGAAGGGATGAAGCTTCTACTGCTGGGAAAACTTTAACCCAAAGAAACAAGTAGTGAAGCCCACTTGTAGACTCTTTCAACACTATCGTAGACGCTTTGTTCTGTGGCTTTTCCATCACTGACACCATAACCAGCATAGTCAAATACAAGCATATCGCATTTAAGAAAGTCGGCTATGTCGGCCTGTAAGGTTTTTAACTAGTGAAAGCCAAATATAGCTCTGAGAATCCTTGAAGGTGCGTTACGCGGACTAGTCAGGGTCAAGCGTGTAGCGACGAATCGCCGATGGAGGAACCCGGGACAGAACACACCACGGAAACAAGGAAAGTGGTCCTCTGGTGAGGCCCCATCGCCATACCACTACCTCAATCCGCTTTACCCTTCCTTAATGTTGAACTTTGTATGCTACTAACTATATGTGCTTCTAAATATACAGTCTTGTTCGCTGTGCATGCTGGGGCGTTAAAAGGGCTGGGTTTGGTGTGGCACCAGCCAGTTGTGCAGCAACTGTTGAACCCAGGTAAGTGATAACAACTTGCGTAAGGGGTTGACGCAGCGCAAAACCCAGTCACGCTGTGACACTCCATCATTCAGTGAACACAGTTTCTCAGAAAATTTTCATCGATCGTAGCGTGAAGGGGTCGGGATGGGAGGGAGGTGAATGTTTCTAGAGACAGTAGGAATTGGTAGTAAAGGAGCACTCACAAAGTTCGGATCCATAAGCATACAGCACCCGATATCAGAGCTGTTCGGTTGCGCAAAGATGATCAGTTTTGGTGATCGAGTCCTAAACGTTTCATCAACGGTCGTAAGTGAGATACGCTTCGTGAGATGTGAGAACAATGAACCATCCCAGTGATATCAGCTTTTTGTTATGACGTGAAATGGAACTTCCAAAGACTCGGTTGGAGCCGATCTTCTGTTGTGTTGGTTGCGTGAAAGATGAAACGGAGGTTTCGTCGTAGAGTTTCGGATATGAATCGCGAGTTTTATACGGTTTCATCAATCGCGACGCATATCGCTCTGATTGCGCGACTATATCGCTCGCGCGATCAGGGCGACCAAATGGTGAAGTACGAACACGGAATCGCGCCTCGTTCATACTTCGCGACACACCTGGTTTCCAGATTGGGCTGATAGCTGTATCAGGTAATGTTGAGACACTAGGCTCATGACTAACACCTCGTTCCGCACCTTCGATTTTCTGCTCTTCGTAGCCACTTTTCCGTTTGTTCGCACATCACTTCCATGGCACAAATCCGCAAATCCTCATACAGCTTCAAGATAACTGGCTGAAAGTACTCATCGTTGAGAGGAGCTTTCTACTCCGACAGTTTTTTTTCGACTTGCTGCGTACAACATTACAGAGATGTTTTGCAATGACCAGAGATTCATAGTCGTTTTGCCTGCCTCAATGATAAGCACCCCTTCCAATACTGTTAACAGGAGTGAATGAGGATGGTACACTGGTTAGGATCTCCGCTCTTCCTTCCTTTTCAAGAACCAGGGTACCATCATTTATTCGACGATACTGCTCTTGTTGAGTCAACTAGATATGAATGACGGATAGCCTGAATGATGGAAGGATGTCCTGAATTACATTCCACATTCCAGAGATGTTTTGGGCGTGCTGCGCGTCTCATTCGAATGTGGCACTTCTGGTGGGATATGGCCGTTTTGAGACAATTGTCACTACCTTTTTTCATCACAACATAGTATGCCAGTTGTCTTGAAAATATCTCACGAATAACGCATTCTACGCTAGCTACGCCCACACCATCATTGGAATATGGTGTGTACTTCCCAACATTCCTCTGCTTCGTGAAAACCTTTCTCATCTGAAGCCCTAGCGTCAATGTCGGATGGTGGGAGCTCTGTTTTCAGTTCCACCCCGTCAGCACAGACCTAGCACTAGATGTAAGGCGCACAAGACATTAGTAATTTGTCGCCCCGTCGGGCGCGACGTGTCGTGCAGCAATGCGCGACAGTCGATTCGCATCAATACGGCGATTAAAGGCAGTTGGCACGATGGTTTCCTACTTAGCCTAAAATGCTAGTAGGGCGCTGTATAGTGGGGAAATGGCGAAAGAACGGAGTGAAACGGTCAAAATCCTGCGAAGAAAAAGCCTCCGTTCTCAGTGACTTGAAAATCGATTTCGGACGAGTTTCCCGTAGGCATCTTACCAATCACCGCTACCGAAGATACGGCTGCATATGTGTACCCATGTAGCATCACGGCCGCTTCATACCAATCCCTTCGCTTCATAATTTGCTTAGCAAATGAATCGATTAGAGCGTCAGGAACGGTCGTCCATTTGTGGGCGGGCGTTTGGGACGTAAGTTGTGGCTTGATAGGGCCCTTATAAGGGCACCTTCCTCGGGGAAACCGCTATGCAGCGCCTGCCCAGGGTCGCGGAATTCTATCCTGCCAGGAGTATTGATCCTAGTCGTCTTGGGGGATTTATCGTGCCAACTGCCTTTGAAACGATTTTCAAAGACGCTTTATGGTGAGTGTAAGATATTAGGCTGGACTATGGGATAGCCAACGTTCAGCCTACCATTTTATACTAGCCATAAGAGTAAAGCACCAGCTCTGGGCCCTGATGTTTGCGCAATATTCACTTTCAATCATGCTAGTGATTGCGGCGCGTTTCTGAAGTTTATGGATTCTCCGATTCCAAACCCAGCCCCCTGGCATGGCCCAGCGTCTTCGTGGCACACGCTGTGGCATGCCAGGGGGCTGGGTTTGGCAGGGCACCCACTGATCACCAGTTGTGAAGCAGGCAGGCGACAAAGTGTTACCAAAATGACATCTGAGGTAGTTAGAAAGAGGGGTTGCTGACAAAGTATGAAATCCCTTTTCCTAG